CACAGAGAAGGGGGGGAAAAAAACCCACCACGCACTAACCCTCACTCACAAACACAAGCTCGGCACACAGTAAGAAAGCCCCAATAACAATAACTTAGTTTGGTGAGATCTTTTTGAAGCTCTTCACAGTCTGCTTTGGGCTTAACTATCTTGAGCAGTTTGGTATCTTCTGCAGATTTTGTCACATCACTGATTGCCCCTTTCTCCAGATCATTTATAAATAAGTTGAATAGGATTGGTCCCAGTATGGACCCTTGGGGAACACCACTAGTTACTTCTCTCTACTCTGAAAACTGACCATTTATTCCTACCCTTTGTTTCCTGTCTTTTAACAAGTTATAAATCCATGAAAGGACCTTCCCTCTTATCCCATGACAACTTACTTTACTTAAGAGCCTTTGGTGAGGGCCCTTGTCAAAGGCTTTCTGGAAATCTGAGTAGACTACATCCACTGGATCCCCCTTGTCCACATGTTAGTTGACCCCCACAAAGAACACTAGTAGATTTAGTATGGCATGATTTCCCTTTACAGAAACCATGTTGACTTTCCCTCAACAAATTATGTTTATCCATGTATTTGACAATTTTATCCTTTATTATAGTTTCAACTAATTTGTCCAGTACGAGCATTATACTTACTGGTCTGTAATTCCCAGGATCACCTCTAAAGTCCTTTTTAAATATTGGCGTCATGTTACCTATCTTCCAGTCATTAGATACAGAAGCTGATTTAAAGGACAGGTAACAAACCTCAGTTAATAGTGTTGTAATTTCACATTTGAGTTCACTGTTGTGAAACAGGGCTGCGTTCTTTCGCCACTCTTGTTCAGCATCGTCATATACTGGATAACGAAGAAGCGTATTAGCAACATCATTACTGGCATAGCATGGGTAGATGACAGAGGCCTTTTATGATATTGTGCTACTGAACAACATTCCTGAAAAGTTACAAAGACAGACATCTTGGCAAAAATATCAGACCAAGTGGAGCTCCAAATTAGTTATGCTAAAGCAAATATCTTTGAAGGCCAAACATCAGTCCTTAAGATCACATTAGTAGGCAGTTATATCAAAAAGGTAGAATGGTTCATCTACCTGGGCAGTGCCATGTTAACCAGTGCTTTTTTTTGTTAAAAAAAAAAAAAAAAAAAAAGGTGCCAGTACTCCAGGGGAAAAGTTGTTGAGCTCTGACTGGAGGTGCTGGTGCTGCGTCTGGAGGTGCCAGTACTGTGTACCAGGCAGTACCATCACAGAAAAAGCACTGATGTTAACCAATGGACCTCAAGAAGGAAATTACATCAAGGGTAGGAAAGGCTTCCACAACATTTACTAAACTCAGCAATGTCTGAAAATTGAATATATATGTTATCAGAACAAAAGAGAAAATTTTCAGTTCAAGCATAACTTTGATGTGAATGAAGCATCGGGGGTAGTCGAGTTAGTCTGCACAGGGTAAACTTAAAAAACAACAAATAGTCTGGTAGCACTTTAAAGACTAACAAAACATCTATATGTTTTGTTAGTCTTTAAAGTGCTACCAGACTGTTGTTGTTTTAAGTTTTTTACGTGACTATATGGCTGCAAGAGCTGTGGCGTCTACTGACACATTACACAGAAAATCTGACGCCTTCAAAAGATTCTGATAGTTGGTTGGAAAGACTTCATCAATTAGAATATCCAAGAATCCCCAACCAACAGCTTGTTTCTACCAGAATTAGAAGGAAGTGCTGGATCTATTTGGGGCATGTAGTGTCTAACTTGCTTTTAAAAATCTCTAGTAATGGAGATTCCATGACCTCCCTAGGTAAATTATCCCAGTGCTCAACCGCCCTAATGTCCAAACTAAAACCTCCCTTGCTGCAATTTAAGCCCATTGCTTCTTGTCCTGTCCCCAGAGGTTAAGGGGAACAATTCTTCTCCCTCATATTTGTAACAACCTTGAAGGGTTGAAGAATACTTGAAGGGTTACCATATTTGAACTTTCAAAAAATCTGTGTCAGTATCAACCAACTCACATTGTATGAATGTGGTATATAATTATATAACACATTAATACATGATACAATATATATTATATACCACATTCATACAACGTGAGTTGGTAGATACTGGTACAGATACACTCCCTCTCAGGAGTGTCCTCTTTTTTGAAAGTTCAAATATGGTAACCCTAGACTGAAAACTCTGTTTTCTCTTTTCCAGAATAAACACACTGACTGTGTCTACACTGGGCCTCTTATTCCGGAAAATCAGCCGCTTTTCCAGAATAAGCTGCGAGCTGTCTACACTGGCCCTTGAATTTCTGGAAAAGCAACGAAGC